AGTAATAGGTTGCAATCTCATAATTGGCAAATATGAATTTTCTTTTTTTTTTTAAGATGCCTGCAATACCAGTCTTAAGCCTACCTGTCAAATGAAGTAGGCACAGAAAGTAAACCACACTTTCTGGAAGGAAAGAAATAGAAGGAAAGTTATTTGTGTACGATTTTTCAAAACCATATGGGTATTTTATCTTTTTCACAATCGTAACCAAAACAAAAGATCGTAATTTCTTGAAGTATTTCTCAAAAGCATGTGCACTCACACCGCTCGGCGTTAAGCTAAACAAAATAACAACCTCGATCTTGCTTTGTGCTCAATGGCTAATATATGCCAGCTGATACATACTGGCGCTCGATGCTCACTGGAGAACTGGAACAGAACATTTTTGGACACATGTGAAGATTAGTGATGTAATTCCACCAGACTTTTTCATGCTGAATGCTTTAAAAGAAAAAATGTGCATCAATATAAGAGAAAATATAATGAATGAGAAATAAGCACTGGGCATAAAATTGCTCCAATCAGTAGATATCCTATACATCATTTCTACAAAAATGTAGAGTTCATGTTTAGCTCCAAGTAAATAGTAGTAATCATATTTCTCGCAACTGATGTGAAACAGATAAATTTGTCATAACGTAAGGCAAAGCCTTATAGTAGTCATATCAAGGGTTACCAACGGAGTCGATACTGTCTCCCTAAAGGTCAATGAAATTATAAAAGGGGTCATTAATGATCAAAGGGTGGATAGCCCCATATGCACTAGCAATTGGTATAATCCCACTGATTACAAAAATCCTAATCAAAATCCCACTTATTACAAATATATATATACTGATAATTGTTTATTGATGAAAGATGTATTACACAGTAAGGAGGGGAAAATCATAAATTAAGCATAAGGGGGAAATACACAAAAATTACATATTTTAAAATATATAACTTTTTAGGATATAAGTGAAATATAAAAAAGTAAAGCCCAAGAAAACAAAAAATATGAAGAATGCAAAACAGACTGTTTTTAAATGATAGGATTTGAAAATTAAGCAGTGTGATGCCAAATATTAAAAAAAGTTGTGCCAATGCATCAAGTGCAGTCATCACAGTAATTAAAATCAAACTTTTATGCAACTAGAATCTGTGATTTTGTTTCTGAAAACCTGTTTATACATGTAAAATTAAAAATAATATAATTTAAAAAAAAAAAATCTAATAAAAAAATTAGAAAATTCATTTATATTCTTCATCTAACTGCTATATTTAAGTTATTTATGTAGAATTATTTGTATTATAGTATAAAGAAATATAAATGTATATATAGAGAGAGAGAATTTAAGGGAATCGACAAGACGAAAAAAAAAAAAAAAAACTTTTGAAGGGGTCAACAGAAGAAAACGGTGCGATTCCCTAGATGCAATGTATGGACATAGAGATATTCAAAGTGGGCAGAATTTACTACTAGAAAAAACAACAACATTCTATATTAATAATAATTTCATATGAATTCTGTATTCTGCATTAATACAAAAAATGACTTCATGAGCCTTTTTAGGATTGCAAACAGAAGATGGATTTTACACTTTTCTATTTAACCCTTTGTGGATCAGTGTTCCACTGCATGGAACACCCAAATTGAATCGCTTCTGAAACCTTTAAATTCAACCGTAAATAGATAAAAATGCCTTATAATATACTTTGAACTTTTCTTTTAAACAGTAGATAGCAGCATATCAAAAGGAGACACAGTCATTTATTGTTATTAAAAAATCCACTTTTTTCAAGTAATTTTCTCTATTTTTAAATAATATAAAATTTTTTTGGAAAAAAAAATTAGGCATAATTTTGCTGGCTGTACTCCAAATTATTTGTTCTATATTTTTTTCATCTTTCATATAAAAACCATGCGCAGAATCATTGACTTAAACCGGGTATTCCATTAGCGGGAACACTGCGCCTTTAGCGATCTCATGCTGTTACGAATCAGAACATCTGTGCTTAGGAGAGAACACCTGTTGTTCACGTTTTCTGTTTCTGTGTTGTTGGGGGGATGAATTCAAACAAAGCAGAATTGAGGGGTGAGGTGTGTTTTGTGTAATGAAAGCCCTAATATTGGCATCTCGAATTTTGGGTAGTTTTTAGGCGGGAATTTATTAGTAGCTTGACTCCTTTACTTAGACCTGCGTGATTTTTGCCGTCGCATTTAGTCTCATTCCCTTATTTCAATAATTGTGTAGCTATTTTTTTGTGTAGTATATATTAAGGCTTATTTTCTTTATTGTTAATATTAATCGTAGTAATTTTATTACAATTTCCAAAGGCGCAGAGAGGTCTAATTCTTTCCGAAAAATTTGTAAATATTTTGTATACAGGACTTGTTTTATTGTAGATTATATATATCTCATTATCCGTATATTCAAGAAGATTGTGTATATCCAGGAAACCATGTATCAGCCATAATACAGAGTTTTTTATTCTATACAAACGCTTTACTCATTTTCGTGCTTCACTGCAATGCTCACTTAGTCGCACTTTTAAAAGCTCTGGCGGTGCAGCGTTCCACCTCATGGAACACTCACAGAATTAAAACAGTAAGTGCAACTTTTACAAAATTTTACCTATATACTCCTTTAGGACTCAATAGACTACATACAACTTTTTTTGTTGAAATTCCGACGTTAACGCATAGTGCATCGCAAAGGGTTAAAGATGGAAAACAAACAAAAGTCTAATATTCAAAATTTTTTTATCAGCACACAAATATCAATATTTACCTCTGACTACAATCACACTGGGATGATGTTCCTAATTCCCCTGAAATTTTTCACACAGAGACTTACAAATAACAAAAAGCAAATGACTTCCAATAATTTTAGATTACACTGCAAATCCAATTCCTGTTAAAAAATGAAATTTAATAAAAAGTAGTGAAAGTTCGATTTCTTTAAATGGAAATTTTAAAAAAAAATTTGTTATAAATATTAATAAAAACGTTTTGACAGACTTCTTAATTTAAGAAAAAGTTTTTAATATGTCCAGTTTCTATTCACTATGAATAACATAAATAATTTCAAAGTTCATCTTTCTGCAGTGACATACTTTTTGATTTAAAGTAGTCAAGCCCCATTCAGCTAATTTTTTAATCATTATCACTCTTTAAACCTTTAAAATGGAACCTGTTCTTAAATGCATTTGCATGCCATAGTTGCCAACTTTGAAAAAATGGCAGTTTTCTGATGGCCTCTTTTTTTTTCTTTTTGGCACTGCATGACAGCACCATTTTCTAACAACTCAAAATTGATTTAAACTTGCTTTATAATGCACGATTCAGGTTATTAAACTATTTATAAAACAATTCTCACGTTTACTTTCATACTGAGAAAATTCTGAACTGGAAAGGGAAACTGGAATTTGTCAAAGTAATTTTAAACATGATGAAAATAAATACTAATATTACTAATTAATAAGATACTATTAGGTGGATAAACATTATATAATGTACACTGCAAGAAAAAAAAAAAAGGCAAGGAACAGTTCTATATCTCCCATTCTCCTGAGCCAATTGACAAAATTCAAATTGCGTTTTCCATGTCTCAAAAGAGCGACTTGTAATATGTATTAGATTTATGTATAGCATTGTTCTAACATGGGTATTTTGACACAAAATGGAGACTTTCTCTGAAATAACATACCATTTTTTTCCATATTTCAATTCTATGACTCAAATTATGCCTAGATATTAAATTTTGTAATTTTTGGCGAGAGATTTAAAAATTTATCTTGACACTTTTCAGTTTGCACCATGAATAATTCACTTGGCAAATTAAAGAAATAAAAATCTTAGCATATTAACTTTTCCCCACTGTACACAAGCAGAAAAAAAGTCACCGTTCATACTTTCAAATAATTTTAACAAGTAAGTAAGTGTGTAAACCACATTCGGTGTTATTATCGCTTATAACAAAATATGCCAAATTTCAAAACGTGCCAATATGTAAATTTATGTATGTCCTAGAAAATTTTGAATAAAAACTCTAATTTTTTGCAGGTGTGCCTACAAATATATCTACTGTAAAAGCCTAAATTTCGAATTTTGGAAGAAGGAATCAAACAAGTTTAATAAAAAATAGATATTAATAAATATATTTTAAATTCAATTAACAATGGGGAGCTAAAACTTTGAGAGCTAATTTTTTTTTTTAAAACTACCCATGCGATTTTTACAAAACTTTGCAGTTTGGCGTAATTTTAACCATAGAATCAAAATACGGAAACAAAAATTGGCATGCCATTTCAGAAAAAGTCCAAATTTGTGTCAAAGTACCAATGCTATATATGAATCTAATACATATCTTAAGTCGTGCATTTTGAGACATAAAAAATGCAAGTTGAATTTCGTCAATCGGCCCAGTAATATGGGAGATGTAGAAATGTCCCCTTTTTTTTCCCAATCAATTAAATAGTGGCTGAATATTGATTTAAAATTCCATATGTGTATTATGAAAATGAAAAATTCATATCAAAAAAATTTAATGAGCAAAATATTCTGAAGACATTAGGGGTGAGGGAATGAAATCTGTAGAATTTTAGTTTCATTCATTCAATAAATTTCATTTATTTCTTAAAAAAAAAAAAAAAAAAAGCTGAACTTATCAAAAGTTAAAATAAAAAAAAAAATGAAGACTTGGTGATCTACCAGGACATGGGGAGGGGGGGGGGGAAAGACAACTTAGGTGTTTTGGCATATGTGGCAGCTGTCTGCAAAGTGTTAACAGGTTTAAATTTTGTTATGAGTCAAGGTGAAAACACAACATGGCAAGATAAGACATAGAATTTGTAAATATTTGACAATAAACACACTGGAAAATAAAAAATAAACCTGGTAAAATATAATATCAGGACAGAGATATAATCTTTGATTTTTAATTTCTTTCAGAGGTCATAAAAATTAATTTCACAAACTGTATTTTTAAACAATAGTGTATATTAAACAGAAGTCAGAATGATACAGAAAACATTTTTATTGATGGAAGAGACGGCCTGAAGTACAAAGGAGAAATATACTAGACACTATATGAAATAAAAACCATAGCATATTAAGAAAACCTTGTCTTAATATGCTTAAAAGCATTTCATATAAAGCAACAATGATTGCAAGATCAAACAGATCATATAAAGTACAAAATGCATAAGTAAAAAGATTAAGGATCACAAAACAGCAGTATACATAAAAATTTTACTGACAGTGCAGTGTCCCCTACTGAGACATGTCTCTCCTTTTTAAAATCACACCAGCCTTAATTAAAGTATTACTTACAAAAGAATTCATTATAACAACTATATAAAGATATTTATATATATTTATACACATATAAAAAGGAATCATATCTTTCCTGCCTTAAACAAACAAACATGGCAGTTCTGAAGCCATCCGAATCATGGCTTCCTAAAAATCGCATAACCTTTACAAACATTTTTAAAAAAAGCTCAGAAATTGTTATTAATTTGGCTCATTTAAACTCAAACATAATAGTACAAAAACAGAAAGGAAACAGAAAAATATTATCTAAGCATATAAATATAAGAATGCTTTTGGCCAGCTGAACAATGAACGATATTAAGTATAACTTCAAATGTACTTCAAGACACACAATCGGCGATCAACCCGTCAATGCAATCATCACAGGATGCACGTAACTTCAATGAGTTATTAAAAGTACTAATTACCACAGTGCAAAAATTTCAACTACAAAAATTTAAATCAACAGAATTAATTACAGAAGCACCTGTAATATTTTTATACTTATTTATGCATCATGCTTTGCATATCAATAATGCATTAGAAGGTAATAACCCATGCACCATTTGAAATTCAAAAATGAAAATATACATATTATCATCTATAAGTCATTAATTTACAACACATTGTGTCTTCAATACAAAATCTGAGATTCCTGTGTTTTAACTACTTGAGTGTTACAGAGATTCTTTACAGTACTGTTGAATTCTACTATAAAAAAAGAGACAAATTTACTTTCTCTCAAGCAACTTTTCCCCCCCCCTCATTGAGCATCTGTGAGCCAAATGTTTTTAGTTCTAAGCATTGTCCTCAAATGTTTCAAAACCTTTCACAAGTAAAATATAAAGCACAATATTTGTCATCAATTTAATTCGACGACATAATTGGCAGGCAGCATTCCACTTTGTCCGGTTCGTTGCACGGTTCCTGTCATCCAGCCATCATCAATAGGATTACAGTTGATAATGGTGTCACCATCAATGAAGCTCACTTCATCTGAATCTTGAGCAACATAATCATACATGGCTCGAAAGGTACGCTGTAAATAAATTTACTTAATTTAAATACTTTCACTAGAATTAAAAAAATATTTTCATACAGCCACATATACAGAAATGAGTATGTACAACATAACAGTAGATCATGTGCAGTATTTTATATAATGCCCTGAGGTAACTACACTCATGTTCATAAATTAAGGATAATGCAAAATCAGGCAAAGGAAGAGTTAGAAGCAAAACAAATTTGACTTATTTGTAAAGCTTATTTATTAAACAAAAGGTAAAGAGCAAAAAAAGATGCCACATGTTTGATATTATTAAAAAAAATAGCGATTTTTTCTCCCTGGAGCAAATTACAAAAAATACCTATTTACAAAAAAAAAAAAACAATATTACATGGTTGGTATGATTGTTAATACATTGTATGTCTCCCAGACGATGCAATACAGTCTGTACAATGCCTAGGCATGCTGAGTATCAAATTATCAATCTGATCTTGGGGGATATTACACTACTAAAAAAAAATGCTCTCCGAAGTTCCTGTAGACATGTAGGAGGTGGTTGACGGGCTGCAACTTGTCGGCCAAGCATGTCCCACACGTGCTCTACTGGATTGAAGTCAGGTGAGAATGCTGGCTAGTCCATACGGGTGATATCCTCCGATTGAAGGCATTCGCTTACGATGTTTGCACGGTGAGGACAGGCATTGTCGTCCATAAACACAAATTGTGCGGTCATGTCACCCCGAAATAAACGTACATGTTGTTCCAGAATGACGTCCTGATAGATTTGGCTTGTCATGGTTCCAATTTGAACAGGCAGGTCAGTTCTGGAACCCAGAATAATTCCACCCCAAACGAGCACTCCTGCACCACCATAACGGTGTTGTTCAATGATGGTTTCTTGGTCCGGTTCAATGATGTTTTCTTTCAAAGTCCGGTGAGAATCAGACTGCAAGCTAAACCTGGACTCGTCGGAAAGCATCACACAAGCCCACTGTCGCGGTGTCCAAATGCATGCTCTCTACTCCAGGCTAACCACAGGTGACAGTGAGTTGCAGCAAGTGTAACGCATCTGACAGGTCTACGAGCATACAGACCAATCTGCCCTAAGCGTCTGTACACGGTCTGCCTTGAAATTGCCATACCAGTGGCTGAAGAGAGCTGACGAGACATGTCTGAGGCTAAGCTCCGCCTGTTTCTTTTGGCAGTAACTGCCAAATACCGGTCCTCACTCGGCGTTGTAACTCTGGGGCGACCTGTGCTTTAACGTCTACTCACATTACCATCATCTTGGAATCGTTACCAAAGCCTGGAGATGACACTCTGTGCAATTCCAAGTCTGATACTTCCAGTTGGGTAAGCCCACATTCCAGACGGCCGATAATTCTACCACGTAAAAAATCATCCAAATGCACCCTTTGTGTCATAACTATTTGGTTATTGCACTGAAATGCTTATAAAGCGCCTGCGAACAATTTTACTTCTTTGCCTGTATTCCTTATATATCACTCTCTTACACTCTCGTCATTGTGACGTACCATCGGTGTCATCTGGGTACTTCCTGAAATTTGCATATGATTCTTGAAGATGTGTGTAGTGATTTTACAGGTGATATATTTATTTTAGTTCGATTTCCGCGATTGAGTTCGATTTCTGCGTGACTCCGAATTATCCTTAATTTATGGACATGAGTGTAAATAATGAAAAGGAAAAACTCAGATTTACAATCTGTTCATGTACTCATTGAATGCAGACAAAAATTACTGAAAAAGAACCATTATCAGTTTACAATGAATACATTTTATATATAAAAAATAAATGTTATAAAAAATAATTGTTAAAAATGATTTAACCTTTGTGAAAAATTTCACTTGACAGACTTTAACACTTTAGCAAAGCAACCAGAAAAAGTTCCACTTAATAGGTATAGTATAAGTTATTTGCACAACTATTTTAATGAAAAATATGAGTGGTATCATGAAAGTGAAAGTAATAGTTTAAAGAGTCCAATACACCATATTTTAAAAAATCTGTATTAAACTCACTCTGTATCTGATATGTTTAGTTTAAATACCACCCATGAATTGTTAAAAGGAGGTAAGAAATAAAAAACGATGATATTCGTATGTCCAAAGCATTTCAACTTTTAGTTCCTTTCAGTTAGTTCAATTTTTAGTTTAGTGTATCACCCATCTTAAAAAGAATTTCAAAATTGTTCTCAGAAATCTTCGCTAACAAAGAATGAGAAAAAATACCTTTCCTTTAAATAAAAACAACTGCATTTTTCAAATTAAAATTTAATCTGTGGCAAACATAGTGTGATTCAAAGTCTGAAAACAAGTTTCTATTTTATAAACCAATGCCAAAATAAAGAATAAGTGCTGGATATGGATTATAGGTAAGAAGTGCTTCCTACTAGGAAAGAATATAAGCAAAACAGAGATTAACTTGAATCTTTCGCAAAATTTTCGTATGAGAAAAAATGTGCACATAATGCATAATTATGTTACAGTTCTCATAAAAATAATATAATGATACATTTTTTTCTTGAGATTTCTATTCCTAAGATGATGAACTACAAATTCAACAAAAATAAATAGTTGATTTCTTTGTTCTAAATAATTCAATATAATACCGAAAGTACAAATGAGATCATCCTTATGAGAGTTGGGGGGGGGGAGAAGCTCCTAAGTTATTGTTGACATGTTTATCAACCTTCAGCCTAACACAGCAAGCATAACTTACAGTGATGCAATTTAAACTTTCATAAAATTATAACGCATTTTCTCCCTTTTCTGCATGCTGTCGTGGAAGCACACTCGACGCATATTCAAGAGGTCCAGGATTCGAGTCCCAGTGAGGGCACTGCACATTTTTCACGTCTCCTGCTTCAAAATAACCTATTGACTCTACAAAATAATAAGAAGAAGAAGTAGAAGAAACTTTAATAAAACAGCAAGAGCACATTGCAAAGCTGGAATATGTAAGGTAACAGCCAATGCAGTTGTAACTATTTTCGTAAAAACGTCCCTCAATGCTATACAAATACCCTTGGAATCGAAGTGCAATTCATGGCTAACTGAGGATATGACCAAAAGACTAGTACAACTACTGCAGTTTGGGCTCAGCAGAACTCATATAAAGCTTATGTTCTAAAGGAAGATTATGCTCAGAGATAAGGTAGTAAATGGTGCAGATAACAAAGAGATACAGATACTGGGAATAATGGACACATTCAAGATAAACTGTTAGTGATGCCAAAATCATAGGATGGAATTTCTTCCACTATTCATACGAAAGATATGGTGTTGAAATAAAAAACCAAAATAACACTCACTGTTTTCTATTACATATTCCCACATAAAGAACTTTTGCCCAGTGAATAAATTGTTACTGCTGTATTTTACATGAATATTCTGAATCATATACTCAAAAAATTCTTTGTAAAAGGGCAGCTGTTTTCTTTCCCATAAAAACGCTTTTATCATAAGGCTGATTTTTATGTTTTGAGTTTTATGTAGTACAGTTATTTTGAGTTTTATGTAGTATAGTTAATAACTATTATACTTTGTTATTAAGAGTATGTGACTGACATTTTACTGCTCCTCATATTTTCATTCCTCTTTCCTTCCTATTTCATATCTACTTATTATAGTAAAAGATATGCATTAACTCAAGCATCTGGAAAAAAATCTGATGAATTTTGGGAAGACTGATTTCTTAAAATTAAGATGTGTATCTTCTGAATGCACGTACTAAAGAAATCGTGTAGAACAGAAGAAGCAAAATCATTGTTCCTAATTCAAGTAATATTAGGTTGTGCAAATTCATGGATCATTCCGTGTTTCATAATTTCATGTATTTTATTTTGTTAGAAAGTCATCATTTCATATCTAAAATGTAGGAGTATGCTTTGACAGTTAATGTTCACTGATATTTTGCTTCATTTAGTTGTTATTAAATCTTTTGTTTGGGACTGTAGTTATAGGAAAACCAAAGTTTTGACTTTGCTTCCCAGAATTTTCAAGTACAGAGTGCAACACTTACCGGCCTTTAAGAATGAGCAGTATATGTATGTGTATTTGAAAATAAAAAAAAAATGGCACAAAACATGCTTTAAATTCAAAGCAAATAATGGTAAATGCATGTTATCATTCCAGAGTTTTGTCAAAAAGACACATAGGCATTTTGTAAGACCATATATATCAGCTGAATTTAAAGTCCCATGTAATGAGTGCAATTTTGAAGCATATTTACTTTACATAGATTAAGATTTTATAAATTTCTTTAACAGATTTTTTACCAGTCATTTCATGGATTTTGCATGCCACCTATAATTAATTACCTTACATAAAAAAAAAGTTTTTTAATTTACTGCAGTAACTTCTTTATTTTTACAGATCACCAGCCTTATTTTCAGATTTCTGATATGCATATGACCAGTAATAGTCGATTTTCACAGTAAATAATAAATTAAACATTTGTTACTAAGTTGAAATAAAAACTTACACCAACAGCTTTAGGAACAGGAGGAACTGGCTCTTGTGCTAAATGGGAAAAAAATTAAATAGTTAAGTGTTTATTTTTTATAAGTACAAATTAATTTTATTTAAATTATCACATTTTTACCATTTATTTAATTATTTTTTATCTCCCCCTTTTTCCTTTTGGTGTTTCACTTTCTTTAAAAAAGAAAGCACTTCTTAAACTTACTTCTTAAAGCACATTTTGAATGTGATAATTTTAAAGCATTAAGAAAGTACTGAAAGAAATTTATATATTATACAACTGCTTTTATAAGCAAATTAATTACCATGGAATAAGAATTTTAAACTGAAAATAAAAACCCAGACAACAGTTCTGATAGCAAAATAAACTTAGCTAAAAATTAGACACTAACTTCTACAGAGATATACTGGTTTTCTAAGTGCTAACTTTATAATGGTAATATTTTATTCAAACCATAACAGAAACTTCATTTAGTTTCATAAGTTTTCTAAAAAAATTAAATTTGTATTAAATTAAAAATATAATAATCTCCAATTCTCAGCTATATGATTGTTGTTGCTTGAGAATTACACCATCTTCATCAGCAACTGAAATTTCATCTCTTTGAAATGATGATGCTGATTTGGTTCTCATAAAAAATACATTGAATCTTACAAAAACTTAAATGTATTATTATTATTATGATTTTATTAGCTTTTCAAACACAAAGCATAACTTCCTGAATTTGTTTTGAACTTTTTCTGTCTGAATACTGCTTAAATTACGTTATTTTAAAGCTGAATGGTTTATAAATATATTATCAAAATATCTTACACCAACTTTTCTGAATTCATTCCCAGAACACTAATATTCTATGAAGTACAATTTGGGGATTCCACAATGATATTCCTACTTTAAGTAATTAAATAAAACAAAATAACTATATTATTTTATACATTATATATATTAGCTCTTAATTTTATGTCAGATAAAAAATTACAGAAAAAATAAGGTTCAAAATTGATCAATCCTATGAGATTCAGCAAGATGGATCATAAAGATAACATCATTTTGGTTATTTGCATATAAACAAGGTTTAAACCCGACTACGATTTGAATTACAAAACTATTATTATTGCAATTTAAACAGAAGCAACCAAAGATCACACAAGGTTTTGTCCAATTTGTTGCTTTATTACATTCATTGCCAGGATAGGTAATTAAAACTTCATCAGAAGCCAACTAATATGAAAACAATGTGGAAAGATTTATCTCATGACATACTGGCATGTAACTGGCTATTATATGATATTGCCACATCAAGCTCCAAGGCATGATCAGCATCTAATGTGCTAAAAATCACAGCTAATTCATTTAAATAAATGAAACCACACAAAATGTAAATGTAGCAAACAAAAAATGTTAACATTTCATCGATTCAGAGTTTTAAAAAATAAAGACTTTAATTTGAAAGACAAACCCAGGCCTGAATGAAATGGATTCACAGCTTACTTAAAGATCAGTTAGCCAAATTTAAATATGTCCTGCTATGGGAGCATGCTTGAATACAGTTGTAACATTGTATAACACAACGTATATAATGCAAGTTTGATTCCACTGAATATTGACATCAATTAATCTTGATTAACAAATGGACATCTACATGAAGCTCAACACAAACTTTTTAAGGTATTTTACGTTTTATTGCTAACTATGAAAAGTTGATCTTGTGCATATTACACAAGTAAATACAAGTTAGTTAAGCAAAAAGGCACTCAGGAAGTTGCATTTTATTTTAGAATGATGATGATTTCTGTTTAACAGGATGTAAATGAAATACAATAGATTTTCAATTTACTAATTCCTATGTACAGTTAAGTTCGTTTACTGTGAAACAATGGAAAAATTATGATCAAAATCCATCCATTAGAACAAATCTGTTTACAATAAATACAAAAAGGCAAAGGAAAGTATGATAAACAGATGATGTTAGAATATCTGGGAGTTAACGTTTTGTAATCTGCAGTATATAGACTTCGTTAAAGTTAAAATAAACTGCTTAATTGTAAAATACTCAAGAGTACAGCCATTAATTTTGCCTTTCATGTTGACTCCGACTGAAACACAAGAGTAATAAAATAAATAGCACATGCATGTCCCTAACAATAATTCATTAAATGCATCCTTCTATAAGTTTCCCCAATTTCACCCTAGTCCTGGCTAGCAGTTACTTCAAATTTTTATAAAAATCATGCCATCCATGAACATTATTTTTGGCTTTCATTGTTGCATGGTTGAGTATTTTTTGTGGTGATGAATGATGTTATTTCAAATAATTTCATATTACTGTTGCCTTCTTCATTACTTAGAAGGAAAATATAACAGGCTACTGAGTGTCAAGAAAAAGTTTCACAACATCACTGATCTTAAAAAAATAAAGAAACATCTCCTCCTGTCTTTTATAACTTAATTTGTTGATTTCTAACAATGTTAGAGTGTTATAATTGCTTTTATATAATCTGACCACCGATTAAACATTTGTTACTAAGTTGAAATAAAAACTTACACCCAACAGCTTTAGGAACAGGAGGAACTGGCTCTTGTGCTAAACTAAATAACTAAACAAACGTATTCTGCAGATTAAACTGTTTAAAAACACAGTATAATATTGTTTATTATTCTTTGCTTTTTTTTTTTTTTTTAATTAATCTCACACTTTGTTCTCAGTATTATCTTTACTAATCTGGAGTCTACTACACTTTACATAGTCTGCCTAAAAAAATATGTGAACTGAGATCATTAGAAACTTTATTTTACAATACTTAGGGTACATCAACCTTATTTACTTCAAAAGGATATGTAGCTATACACTCTTCATTTGTAGCTAGCTATACACTTGTTCCCTCTCCTTTTCATCATTCAAAACATCCCTGGAAATCCTCTGACACTAAGTTGCTCATTTTATCATCTCAGTTCCGCTCAAGTAAGAGAGTGCAGAAGTTTGAGAATAAAAAGAAGTTGCAGGGGATGAAGTCTGATGAGCAAAGAGGATGATTTAACCTGGCAACTGAATAACAGTTTAGAAATTCATGGAACAATGACTGATGAACGTGCAGACTCTTTATTGTGAATGCAGAACCTATATATAACAAAAATGTGGTCATAAACAATCCTTTAAAGTTAAGACTTCATGAGTTGAATGGTTTTAACCATTACTGATGGACAACAGTTGTCCTACTCTTGAAATTTTCATCCTCTTCATTGAAATGCTTGATCCACTTGAAAAACGCCCCAGAAGAATGTAAGAAGCCGCAGGCATAGGATAAGAAATAAGCCAAAATGCACTATTACATTACAGAAAATGTGCAGTACTTTTTCAATGGAGAAGTACCTCGTATTATTCAGCACATTAGTAACGCATAATACTAATAACATTCCATTTTTACTTTCTTTTCCTAATTAAATTTAAAATTAAAAATCTTTTCTTATTGTGTGATAATCTTTGCTTAATTAAATCTGCATAGCATATTAAAGTTGTATGCATTTTATATAAGGAAACAATTATACAGAAATATTCATAAATAATATCATGGGTCCACCCTCCCTTCATATTTATTATACATCCAAGTCTAATTACAAAATATTACAATAAAAGTGCCATTTATTAATCTAGAGAAATTTTGTTTTCCTACCGGAAAAAAATTTTGCAATACTTTTACCATAATTTTTCTCGAAATATTTCTTGAAACTTCAGCAAACCTACCTCTGTACATATTGGAAGCATCTGGTGGCATAACATTTCGATAACCAGAGGCCAAAGAACCGTAATTTTCATTCAAAGGATCATAATCAGCAATTGATCCGATTTTGCGTGAAGGGGGCTGGTGAACTAAAAATCGTCATAGAAACAAATAAAATAATGAACTAAAATTTTAAATATAACAAACGCAAATAAAAATAATAAAAACAAAAAAGTAACAACAAACAAAAACAAACTTTAAAATTAAAAAAAATTGTGCAGAGTGAATCTCTTCTTATAATCATTGCACATTTCTAAAGTGTTACAAATTCATAGATTCTTTTTCCTTCCTCGTTCAAGGAATTAACATTGTTATCACTATAGTCATGAATATAAATAAACGTTGAAATGTTTAAAAGAAGCCAAAGTTCTCATATGATGATAATAAAAAAATAAATAAAAATAATTTGGAAGATGCTTTATTAAATTAAAAATACAAAAGTGGTGTGTGTAACAGCGATCCAATTACAGCCAACATACTGTTTACATAATATACAAAATTAAATATTTTATAAATGTATAAACTTCTTAACAATCACATACTTTTCAAGTATATAGTACACAGCTCCTAGCTTGCTCTCTCTTACTTTTTTTTAATTCAAAAGAATTGTTTAAATAAGTATATGTATTATTTTTAATTTTTTTAATTTTTTTAGCTTGAAATCAAGAAAATATATGAAATAAGAAATAAAAAAATTTCTGGGTATAAGACATGATTTGTTTTTAATTTTTTCTGGTGTATTTCTTTTGAACATTCCAGCCCAAAAATATCAAGCGCACAAGAAATATATTTTTACGGGAGCAAGAATGAAGGGGTTAAAAGACATTTATACAAATTTTCCTTGAGAGACAATGTAGCTATTGTAAATTTGCAAGGATATATATTTAAAAAAAATATTAGAATTTCGCAGATTTAAAAAGAAAGCAGTGTATGATTTACTTAGTCAGGATTTTAGAGCAAACTAAACATTTGAGTTAGGGTTTGACGGGTTTTTCAAACCCGATTTTTAAAGTAATTTTGTCACATTCAAAAACCGGTTTAAAGAATAGAAATTATTATGTAAAAATTAATTTTAAACTTATTTGATTTGCTATTCATTCTATGACACTGGCAGCAAAATTTCAAATTTAATTTAGAAACTGATAGAGTTGCAGTAACAAATTATGGTACTGCTGTTATGAAAAAATTTGGCAACTTATCATCTATAATTAATCAACTATACTATTCACTTAACAGTTACTAATGTGTTATATACACATAGAGAAATGGCTGAAGCCGAAATAAATGTTTGAAGTGAGGAATCGGAAGATGAAGATGAATACAAATATAACGATTATGAAGAATCTCTTTATTATGTTTGTAACTGAAACCATTATATTCCTATTTCGTCTGACAGTTAGAAACCAGTTTCACAAATTAGAAAAATTTGTAAGTTCTTTAGAAAATCTCCAGTAAGGAACACCATTCTTCCATTCTTCAAAATTATATTAAAAAAGAAAAAGGAGAGGAATTAAATTTAATTCTTGACTGCAAAACAAGGCGGAATAATATGGATGACATGATAGGGGATTTCTGCCAGTAAAAGAATGTGTTGTTTTAGCACTGAATGATACTGGTTCTTCTTACATGTGGAAAACTTTTAGAACTTCATATGTCTTGGATTCATCTAGCAGCTGAAGGCTTAGGGGGATGGGATGCCAATTTACTAACAAGTGAAGGTATATTTGAATTTCTGTTAAATGAACTAAAAAATATAAACACTGAAATAAGTTTGAAATTACTATATGCTTTAGAAGAAAGAATTCAAGAAAAAAGATAAGTAGAATTAGCAAATCTTTTGCTGTATTTGCAAAATCCACAAAACTTTTCTATTTCAGCAAAGAAATACTTTCTTTACTACTTAATAAAGAAAAGTACTTTCTTTAGTTTCAAAAACCGAAATTATTAAGTTACCTGAAAAGATATTGTCTAGAATATTTCCAAATTCTTATGTGGAAACCGATTCTGATGAGCAAATCGAAAAAACTACTCATCACAGTAATGCTTTTTAAAAGAAGCCATGGAAAAAATCAATTCATACGTTTCTTGAAGACCCTGAAGAAAAACTTTTAAATCCAATGACACTGAAAGCTGAATTTTCATTATTTGAGGCAATGAATAAAAGAACAAAAAAACTTGGATTTTTTATTTGATACCCTGAAAACTATAAAACCAAGCCCAATAGCTAGTAAATGAGTATTTTCAATTTCAGGCAATATTGCGTTCAAAATAAGAATGAGACTTAACCACCATTCAGGGAGAAATTAAAATTAGTGAAAATAATATAAATATTATGTGAATTTTTTTTTTGAGTTTTCGTTATTTTGTGTAAGCAATATGTATACGTAATCCTTATTTTTAAAAATATATTTTGACTTTGATATTGATTTCGTTTTTTGTTATTTTATATAAATTAAATAAAATGTTTTTTCCTATTTTTTTGACAAAAATTCAAAAACTAGTTAAAACCGGTTTTTTGGAAATATTGAATTCGAAAACCGGTTTTTCAACAATATGATACAGCACAAAGTCCGAAAGTCCAGTACCTGGAATGATATAAAATCCGGAACTCGAAACCACCAACAAAGTTTTTCTTGTAGTCTTTACGCATGCACATCTGATCCCCCCCTCTGCGCATAATAAAACATCTGGAGAGTCCCGATTCTAAATTTCACTTCGACACTAAATAAAATACCTTGTTATTGAAGAAACAATCATTTTAGCATAAATTTATACAATCAGTAATTTGGCTCTGTTGCTGTGTATCTGCTTGGAATACATCTTGAACCGAAACATTCCACATAGATACATTGTTGATCTAATGACAACATGGCGAATCATTACTTAATTATACTTTCCTTCCATCACCACATGTTTATCAACTTGAGTAATGACTCATGTAGCGATGCCTAAACAATTTTTTTTATGTTAGTAATTAAATAATAAAGGAGTATGGTAACCTTTTATTTTGACATTATGATTGGTAGTGATTACAGATTTAAGTTAAATTCGGTAAAAATGTTGACGAGGAAAAATTTACCAAAAATTTCTTTAGATATGCTAAAAATACATTTTGTTGATGATAATCATAGACCTACAGATTACATTTAGGGCTATTTGAATTAAACCGCTGGAAAGCACGTGGGGTGTATCATACCCCAAACCTACATAACAGTAGAATATTCCTAACTAGTGAAACTGAAATTCTGTACTGCTTTCAGTAGCTGAGCTTCAAGTTGTGGTTAACTTTCAGAGCTGCTTTTTCTCTGCCTGTGTGCTTCAGAAAACGATTTATCGGTATTTTGTTGGAACTGGGATATGACACAACCCACGTGCCTGTCCGCGTAAGTGTTTTTCTGACTGAATATTTAGTTCAGAAATTTATTCCTAGAGTGTAACAGTAAATATTTCTACTCGCAAGTGATTTTAAAGTACGTGACATTAAATTCTTAAAAATTTCTAACTGCATTACGGTAAAAAGAATGACTCCCTATGAATTGGAGATGGAATGCCTGTGAGATTTATTAGAAATATTTGAAAGTGATGAAGATTGCATTTTGGAAGCTGAAGATGAAACTTGGAATATTTTCTACACTGTTTTGGTTTCGAAAAAGATAAAACATCAATTCCTGATTTTCCTAAAAAAGGAAAAACTGTTCTTATGCTTTCAACATTATATAACGATCATACTATAGATGATACTATTGGAGAAAATAAAATGTCAGGAATTCTATGTTTTTATTATTCTATGTTATTCAATTGCCAGAATAACAAGGAGGTGGCCAATGGTAATTTTCTTTCCTGCACTGAATGTTGCTGTAATAAATGCTTGAATTATATTACATTCAACTGCTAATCCACTAACCAGAAACAGAAGTCTGTTTTTGAAGGCATTACAATTAATGAAAAAAGGTATTGGACAAAGATCAGAGATTAATACTTTACCAAGAAACTGACGTACTTCAAGCAAAACAAAAGCAGAAGTTTCGAAGAAGAATTAAAATGAATATATGAAATTCGAAATAACTAAGTATGAAAGACGTGATAAATTTTTTTCTCTCGTGCCAAGTACAGAAGAACGTGAATGCAATGTTTAAAATGTGAAAACATTCTGTGCCAAGAACACATGAATGTATTTCGTTCAAAGTGTGAAGAAATTAAATAAGCATTCTGTATTAGAGATGCAATGAAACTTAGAGGCATGATGTTTATTTTTTTATTATTTTCATTTATCTTAATTTTAACTCTAGGATTATTTTGGAAATTAATTTTTTGAAACCCAATTATTATTCACGTATTTATAATACACGAGAACAAGAAAAACAGCTTTAAAACTAAATAAAACTGTTTTATCATATTTTAAATATTGGGGTATGTGATACCCCACGCGCCCACTCTAGTAACTTTTCTTGGTGCGACTTCCGCCGGATTAAGAATAGAGACTGTATCAGACGGTAAGATATCTAGCGCCAGCCCTCGATAAGGCTTAAGTATATGTGGGAATTTATTTATTCAGAACTCTGATAACCCTTAAGCATGTGCAAGAAATAGACATAAGCATAATAAATAACTAAACTAATACAATTCAGGCTTAATTGTCTCAGTGCACGATAGAAGCAAGACGAAATTTAATGGAACAACTTGAAATTAATCGCCAAGCTCATGATGCATAGCCAAATATGTATAGTGAAGGATAGCTAAATTTGATGATGATAGCCACTAATTTTAAAGATTTTCGGATATCGCAAAACAAAGGTGAAATTTTCCAATTAACGGATTTTGTAAAGAAATGTGGAGAAGCGGTAATAAATGAAGATGATATAAAAGAAGTTTTTCATTGTGATGACAATGCTTCTCAATCATCAATCAATTAATGAATGGCGAAATCCCTAGTATGGTTCTAGATCCAGAAAATAGCACTACCGATAGTGAAGAAAGTGACAGAGAAGTTACTGAAAACAAGAAAATTTCGATTGACAAGTTAGTCCGAATTTGAGAAACAGCAGATACAGGACTTCAACATTATAACTAAACAAGAGATTATGTCTGT